GTATCTACGGCATTTCCGATCTATCCTATCCTTTTCACGATCTCCAATGCAATTACTTGTTATAATAGGTTTCGCTAAGACAACTTCCTAGAACAATCAAAGGCTCTATTCTAAGAAATGCCGTTGGTTTGAAATATTTCACAAGCCTGCATGTTATTATATGCTAATTATATTTCGGTTTTAGAATAGAAAATTATTAAACGCGAAAAAAAAAAATATTTTTATTGCTCGATTTTAATTATATGCGCGTATATATCATTAATATAACTCGATGATTAAGTTAGTGTTGCATATATGCGTATATGCAAATTAAACTTTTATGAAATCAAATTGTAGCTCCTTATTAAATTGAAGAAAGAACGATATCTAAAAAATCGTTAAATATATCTTTCATACAGTTGCTTCCATTTTCTTTCGTCTGTCTTTTTTACTTTAAATTGCGCGATACGTAGAACAATCGAACTCTGTAAAACGGAATTGATCGATATTCGACAGCGCGACACATGACATGCAGTGCAGAAAATTTGCGTAATATGTTTACAGACGACGCGTTATCGTCGCCATCGGCGCGCTCTATAATAAATTAACGCTATTACGTACGACATTATCTGTATCGTGGCGGGGCAACCAGTTTGCCAATCTGCATAAGAAATGTGAGCGCGCCCATAAAGGCGCGTGTAAACGCGCTGTCGGATAATCACGGGTTGCACTGTCGGAAGACACGCGCCTCCCGAGTTGGTATTCTTCCCCATATTCATCTCTCATGTAGGCAACGGCGGCATCGTCATCGTCGATTTATGTGTATAGTTTATCTCACGTAAGATTTCACGGCTCGGATAACAGAAAAGCGCTCTAGATTGTCCGACGTAATACTGGGAAATAGTATGCTCTGATATAATCGACGAAATGTAGATCTCACAAGCAAATATATATTTTAATCACAAACTAGAATATTATATAATTTATTGATAACATAATTTTAAAGAATATTTAGCTATAAAAGTTAAAAGAATGCAGTAAATTATAATTTTAAAATAGGTAATAAATTAATCGTATTTTTCTTAAAAATGTATTTTAAGTGAACAATGTTTCAATAATCGTTTGAAGCATATTTAACGCAATATTTAATAAAGAAAATTAAATCAGATGAATAAATAATGTTTTATATTTTATTGTGTTGTTTATATACATAAATATTCTAATTATCGCACGAATATGGCATAAAATGCATTTTTGTTCTTCTGCAATTTAGAAATAACTCGAGATTATCAATCCTTAATTTCATCTGTCGAAAGTGCAATAAATATTTGAAAGTGCATTCGTCGCACTTGATCGGAATACGCGTCCTTCGACGCTTCGATTTAGAGACTTCAATGCGCCGCGAAGCATATACTTTCGTGCGCCCACAAGTAGTAAAGGTCTACAGCGAGGCTCGCGACGTCTGACTAATCCCGAGCCTCACTACTTGGAACGAGCGTTAGACTTTGGAGGGCTTCCCTTTCCTTCTGAATCGAACGCTCGCGGTTGATCTAACAAGTTAGCGAAACTTTACGTGTATCATACGAGGTAGTACCTGTACGGATCTGTTACCTGTTGATGGAGGCGTGGCTAGGAATTCCCCACCAGACGCTATTCCGATGGGGAGAAAGAAAGGAGACTCACGCGAACGGCCGCGACGGGAGGATCTTTCCTAAATAATCTGGAGGGGCATCTACAAGGAGTGGAGGCAGACTCTCTGGACGCAAGAGCCTCTCGTGAAAGGTGTCAGAAGCGCCTCAATGTCGCGAGGGCAAAGGATGTGGCTGCACTGTATCAATTTAACGTATACATCATCAAATGCTCCGTCGTCAATTTGTCGCATTTTTATTAAAATTTCTTTCTTTCTGGATTTGCCTTTGCATTCTCTTATGGCTTTCTCTGTAATTTTTCTACAGTTTATCTGGAAACTTTGAATTAATTCAAAAAGTGATACAAGAATTTTTCTTGGAGTTTACATCGTGAAAATCAAGATAAACAAAATTTTTATGAAATTATACGTATTCATAAAAGATGTCGAAAATTTTTCATTAACAAGAGATATATTATAACGCATGATATATTTTTTATCGAGTTTATTCCTTTCGATTCCGATTAATGATATTATTCAATATTCACTTCATTATTGTGACTGTGTGAAATAAATTTCACACAATCTTAAAAATTGTATGAACCAAGTCTAAATAAATTGAGACTTGTTTAATTGCATAAATCTCAAATATAAAGTATCACATCTAAAATTCAAAGTGGATAAGCAAATTCAACTAAATTGCATCGCTGTTACAGCTGACTGTATATATAAAGTAACGATTCAAATTTTCAATCAACGATTCACATATCATCAATATAAAATTAGTCTAAAATTGATATCTTGGTCGATTCGTAATATGTACACGTATTTTATCGGCTCGCTAGATCGGCGCGCTTGTAAAAGAGATCGGCGATGATAGCGCGGAGGAAATGAATGGAGAAATCACGGGGCCGTTGACTTTGGAGACATGGCGCCTCGTAAACATCGTCGAAGGCACACGCACACGCGCGTGCATGCACTGGGAATCGAAAAAAAAAGAAGGGAAAAAAGAAATAAAGAAGAAAGAAGACGCGCGCGGCGGGAGGAGGAGGACACAGAGAGAGAGAGAGAGAGAGGGAAACGCGCCGAAGACGGCGGTGGATCGCGAACGAGAGGATGGGAGCTTTCGAAACGAGGTGTAAGGTGTACCACCAGGTGCCGTGGTACACTTTGCCGTGAAATTATCGTCCCGCACGGATCGGCTCGGCTCCGATCTCGGCACCGCCGTCGCCGACGACGGAATTTGTGGCCTTGCCGGCGAATTTTCAGTCGACGGGCGAAACTTACGACCGTTCGAGTAACCCTGTTTTCATTTGGAAACAAAAGCCGCGGTGAATCAGGGACTACATAGCGATAGCTGTACCCGCAAACGTCATCAATCGCGACGTTTATTCCATATACGTAGACTTCGATTAAAAAAAAAAAAAACCAGCTTAATTGCAAAATGTTTCTATGAATATGGAGCACCGAGGAAGGATACGCGATACTTACGTATCTAGCGTGTATATTTATATTCAATAACACACTCTATATATTTCAAATAACGGAGCACGAACGAAACTCTCTTGTATGCATAAGACCGGCTATCAAATGTCGACGTCGTAATCGGTAACTTTGATCGTAAATCGAAAATCGTAACGGCACTTGGATCTAGAGTCTAAAGAGTCCTCGTTATCGCGAGAACGGGACATCAGGCTGACTAGCTCTATTCTATTCTCCTTGACGGTTCACGCCTCGGCGAAGCCTCGGTTTTATCTCGTTGTTGCGACAATCGAATGAGTGTATTTATGAACTCATTCTTATCACTATTACATGTTGAATGATACTGAAGCAATACATTTATAAAAAAAATTGCTTTCATAATTTTCAAGTATTCTGATAAAAAAAAATAATAATAGATAACATTAGGAACCGATAGGATTTGTAAAACGTTTGATCGTTTCCTATCGTAACCCATTATTTCACTTTTTATATTCCGAAAGAAATGTTATCGTTTCTTATTGTTTTCTTTCATTTTCTATTATCAATCGGATTCAGTCGTTAAAATACGATAAAATTCATCTAGTAATATATATTGTTTTTTTATCATTTTGTTGGAATTTATCGAAAAAAAGATTGAAAATTTATCGTAATCAATTGTTTTTAATCATAGTTATGAAACTACGATTAAAAACGATGCAATCGTTTTCTATTGTTTTTATCAATTTTTTTTATCAGGGTATTTGATTTTTTAATGTTATTATTGAAAATGAAAATATTTTAAATATTATAATCTGCGATTTAAATTATTTTTGTAATTCATTTCAGGTATTCTATTCTAGTAAATATATTATGCGTAACAAAACTATGGTATGAAAGAAGCAGATATGTGAAAATGGAGTACGCAATTTTACGACAGACTCGCGCAAGACTTTCGAGCGTTTTCTAAAAACTCTCGAGCGTATTCTAAAGACTTTTCGGAAACATCCCAAAGAGCTGAATGACACTGCGAGCAAATATACGACGTGTCGTCGAAAGAAATCCATTTCTCATTTACGCTCTCGAGGGCGAGGTCTCTTCAAAGAGACTTTCACTGCGCGTACTCGTCAAATTTAACGCGGAAGAATTTTTGTGTAGGTCTTACGCCACCCGGAAACTCTCTAAATCCATCGTTGATCCACGTCGGGACCGACCTAATTCCATGAGATAGAACCGAGACGTTAGCTTTTTTTTGTGGATCCTAAGGCACCACCGAATGGTAGGCAGATATCTTTTTTTAACCATTTAGTAGGTTAGTCGGCCCACAGCGAAACTTCGTTCGTTAGAGGAACCGTTACGTCCTACAACGACCGGTGGTGCCCTTTCATTGTGTGGCCGGTCGCTCCATTGTTACCACTTCTCCGACGAATCGTGATCGCGCACGAGTTTCGCGACTGGCATACACCATATGTGTCATACAGTATGATACATATGAGTTTTTTTGTATGCACTTTCAGGATTATATGAATTATCAGTTAGATTGCGGATGAAATGCGGTCAACAACTGTCTATAAAGTATTTTTAAAAATTCCTCAACGTATCTAAAATCGATTTACCATAACTAAATTATACTTAAATTTTGTTCATTCTCGAGAGAATTGAAATTGAAACGTCATATAAATATTTAATTACTATAATTATAAGTTAGTATGTTTTCTTTCTCTATTCTTTTCTCCCTTTCTAATTATAATAATACATTAACTAATTATAATAAAACATTATCTCTTTCATTTTTAAATGACAGTTATACCATGTCATTTCGTTAAATTATACGTTGCAGATCTACTTTTAATTAATTTAAGGATATACAGAAAATGTATATGTATATTAGTGTGGATTTAATTTATATAAGAATAGGATCAAGAGGATAACTTACCGTACCCCTGCATTATTCCATGTGTCAAATAAAGTGGGGCCCTTCCAGCAAACACGTCTTTCGCAAAGACCTGCCTTACCAGCTGAGGATCCGACAGCAAGATCGTATAGATCGAGCCCATTCGCAGTCCACAAATCGGTCCATACTTCCTCGCCAAATTTGTCAGGGATACGTGAGGACGTTTCGAATCTAGCCATGGTAAATAACCGAGTAGCGGGATACCGTATGGTCCCGGGGGAAGTTGACGCGTTTTACCACGAAAAATATAGACCAAAATTATGATAGATATACCGAGGATAATATGTATGAGGGATATCATTGTTTATAAGGAAAGGGAAGCGATACTTTGCGGCACCTGCAAATTAAAGAGGATACCGTTGAATAACAGTAATTTGGTGAAAGCAAGATATTATAATTATCGTGTTGTAAGATTTTTCTACAAATGTGTAGCTGTTATATATAAGACGACGAGATAGAGATGTGTTAAGGAGAGAGTACTTAATAATTAAATTCATTAAATGTACATCTGCTGTATTAGATAATAAATCACATAAATGTTTCGCGCGTATGTTCCTCCTCAGCGATCGTAAGCGCTTCTAATTGAGGGAACGCGATTGCAGCTTCCAGGAATGGCAACGGCAGAAATGAATGATAAACACCTTTCTCTGCGCCTACGGCGCAGCGTGCATATGTAAACTTATCTCATTATCAAGACTCGCGCGCGCACGTGCAATCGCGCGCGAAGAGGACAAGGAATGATTCCGTGCTGCGACTACGCGATATAGGCCGACACGTGGTTAAACACGTGCCGGCGAGTCGCTGATGAATCGAGGAAGCTTACTTTCGATGGCGCGCCGACAGGATTTCTTTTTACTTCGCTACACTTTGGCTCGCAAATGTTTAGCGGTGTTGTGGCATTTCGTATTTTTATTCCATTTCTTGCGATATTCAGTATTTAAGTATCCTTACGATATTAAGTAGGATAAGTTGACTCTTCTGCGCTTGATGCGAAAATATTCTTTTTCAAGATCTTTAGTCGGCACTTTGTTTGCAATTTTGATATAAAAATAATCTCAATCGATTATTGTACATTAATTTAATATAAATCACAAAGAAAAATATTTCTTCCATTTTCAGCTTTATAAAATAACTTTTGATATTTGTTAAATTGCGTGTCTGAAGTTTACTTTAAATTATCAGAAACTAAGAAATTCTAATTATTGAAATATATCGCAGAAATTATGCTTTTTCCGAATAAAATACAATTTAAAAAACATAAAATATATTGTTTTAGCAGTTATATAAGACGTTAATTGTGTAGACTCAAAGAAGTGTTAACAAAACTTACCAAATCTGCAAGCACAGGACTTTTATTGCAGCCACAACGTATATGTCTTTCTTGAATAATATAACTTGTTGCGCGGGAATGAGATCTAAAATAATAAGAAACAAAAGATGTGATTTTAGATAAATATATAAACAGACAATTATATTGATTTACATGCAAAAGAGAAAATAAAATTTACACGTGTAATTTTCGCCGAAAGGAAAACATTACAAGAAAGAATACGATGTAACCTCGACCGCAGTATCGAGCTAAGTGACATCGTCAGACTTGACGAAAGTGATCCGAGTAGTCGTTTGACTACCAAATGATAACTGACTCGTGCTGCGACAGCAAAGATTTGTAGTGTGTGATATTCGATAACATTGGAATAGACGTTTCATGTTTTCAAACAAGTATTAAAAACTTGTTTAAAAGAGAAATACGACGCGTGTTATTTCTACATTAAAAAATGTATAAAACCATTTTGCAACATTAAAAAATATATACAATTAAAATACAAGTGTGTGAGCCGATTCATAATTTGGTTAAAATATTTTAAATATAATAAAACAGACAATTTTTTTTATCAAAAAAGAATTATTTTGAATACAGTTTTGATGGGCTATTAAATATACGATGCAGACGCCCCCTGACACACGAAATATATCGCCTAAATTTCTGCCACTCCACGCCTATGCGAAAAGGAATTCCTTCGCACAGAAGGACCCTTTTCGACAGACTAGCCGAGGAAAAAGTTACGTATAGTCTACCTGACTCAACAAGTCTTCTGGTTTGGCTTTTATGAACTAAGCCGTTCGCTTTATAATTTATCGAGTTATTCGCGCACGCACACGCACACAATTTACGACTAATTAAAGAATATCTTGGAAATAATTCGCGTTAAAAGAATAAATGAATCTAGATTCAATTAAAAATCGCATTTTTTATACATTCGTGTTTATCGTTGAATAAATAAAAATTCCATATATATGACTAACCAGTTCCTTGTGAGATCACGAGAGGATATATTATGAATATGTATATTCCTAATATCTCTGCAAAAACACATGCACACCCCAGAATATCAACGACCCGTTGCCCTTACGCACACGACTGACCTTCTTGGCTCACCTTACGAGAATCCTGTGTGCACTCACCTCCGCTCACGTGCGAACTATCGCTCGTCTTCGCCAATCACGTGCGAGTTTATACGTCGATCGCGTCTCTGGGCCCCGAATTCAATTTATATGGTACGTGCCAGAGCGCTCGAGTTAAACCGAAAAAAAAAATGAAAACAAAGTGGAAGAGCTCAAGGCTTTTTTTCCTATCGTGACCCACTGCCCGCTTGACGAAGCTTGAGTATATTCAATCACCAATATGCCCTTTTAACCTCTTGGAAAACTGCCTGAAAACACTCATTGGCGAGAGAAACATTTCTACTTTTTGTACTAATACTGGAGATCGTACAAAAAAAAAATTTTTTTAATTTTATATATATTATGTTTTGAATTAGTATTCGAAATATGCAGTTACTGATTTACTTTTTCACCAAAAATTGCAAAAAAGCAGCATATAGAGAAATAAAAGCAATATGCAATTATAAATCTTTATTTTCTAATACCTAATCTCTATTCTCTAATTCTTTATCCTCTAATAATATAAATCTTTTTCAAATAATGTGGATATTTTTAAATCGAGAAAGAGATGCGCAATTCTAAAATTATTGTAATTAAATTTAAATGTAATGCAACGCGTCTTAAAGAACATTTCTCGCTTCTGAATTTAATTTACATTTTGCATCAGTCAGCTCGTTCTAACTATATTATAGTTCATTCATATATACATATATTTATATTTATTTGTGTATATATTTTTACATACATATATTTGATTTGTACATTTTATACTTATCTTTGCCAAAATTCTACCAATTCTATTTATCTGAAAACTGCTAATATCACCAAAACGATTGAAAAGAATGTTGGAATCTGATTTTTTCGCAAACATAAAATCGGATTAAGTATATTTAACACTCACGATCGCGATGTCGATTCTTTGTTTTTTTTACGTTTTTTCGAAGGAATAAAAATTCGGCTACTCTTGATTAGAAGATGAGTGGGTAGAGGTAGATAATTGATTTTCGAGAACAATATATATCAGTACTGAATCCTTTTATAAAAAATGATAAAAATATGAAAAAACATAGTTTAATAAAATTAAATTAAATTCCTTTTTCTCTTTCTTTTACTTTTGCAATTTTAGAAAAAATTGGAAATTTACAATAAATATAATTGTGACTTTTCAATTGATGTGCAATTATAGCTTAAATCAAACCTTGAGAAAAGCGCGTGGCGCATGCAGAATATACATGCGTTGGTAAATCACTCATTTGCGAGCACGTCTCGCCGAGCATCTCGTTTCGCGAGGATATTGCGAGAGGAATGGACCGCAATGATGGGGCGCGCCACTTTCCCTCCGCCATAAAATGGACTAGATTGCGAAGGAGGAATTGGAGATTGGAGTCGAAGAAGTCGGGAGAGGGTGACGAAGCGAAGAGGAGATGAGGACACATGGAGGCACGCGGAGAGGAAGAGGCCAAAACGTGATCAGCCGTGCACGTTGCCGGTGATCGAACTCTTGAGCTACGATTCGCATTGGAAAACGTGAGGCATATTGGTCTTCAATAAACCGCACGATTATCCTTCCTCCGCGATGTCGACAATTTTCAAAATTTGACAGATAGATACTTGTGCAAGTCCTTTTATGCTCATTCCTAATTCGATACAACAGATACAAGAGTCAAAATTTGACGACAATTTCGATATAGCAAAAGAGAAAAGAGCGAAAATCTATATCTTTGATAACAAATAAAAAAAATTTGACAATTTATCTTTTGCTCTAGAAATGAATTCGCAAGATGCTCCAACGAGAGAGCTCTCGACACAAGGAGACTTGAAAATTCGCGATCGACAATTAATTTTGTAAAGTGATCGCGTCGGAGAAGGAGAGAGGAAGCGAACGAAGGGCGGGCGTCGACTCTTTAATCGAGCTCTTGCTCGGACCTCGGCGGATAAAGCAAACGACCGCGCTGATGAGAGATCGGTAGCGAATGGACCCGCGCGACTTTCCTCGTCCCCCTCCCGAAGCCCCCCTTGCACTGCGCCGGTTCTGGTATGCATCGCCGACTGCGGAACAGAGTACAAATGCACCCGAGCTATCTGACGGGACGTGCAACGACCGACAAAGGTCACTCGCGACGTTAAATCTGCATATTGGCGTCGCCGCTTGGCTCTCCGCCTCTTGTTCATTCTCCTTTGGCGCGTTGAATCGGCCAGAAACGCCGCTAGGATCATTCGATCGTGATCGAGAAGAGGATCGATTCGGCATCGAAATTCGGAAGATTCCTACGCAAAGCGGCAGAAAGACAAAATATCGCGCGACTGACGATTTAGAAGGAAATTTTATGAAAATCAGCCTTGTCAAATTTTCTTTTTCAATGTTTGCAATTTATTTTCTTTTCATATAAAAGATCAAAAGAAAAAGAGATTTTTTTCACGGTACTTTGTAACGTGCATCTTATCTTATCAAAATAATCTTGCAAAATAGTTTAAATTATTATTTTTGTATCTTTGTAAAATATATACTTTTTCAGCACAAAAATATAACGTGATACAATCGATTTGTGAATAAATGTTCTGTTACGTGAACGTAAACAAACAAAGGAAAAGGGGGCTGATTATTGCTTAAATAAGCAGCTTGATTCGATACGGCAGAAAAGAGGAACGACATTGACTGAGAGTTCGTCGTATCGTCTAATCGTGGCTGAGACCTCGCCTAAACCCGACTTGGTAGGATAGGAAAGTCGTCTTATCCTACCTACCCTTGGTAGAGTAGATAGGCTAAGACGACTTTCCTATCTGGTACAGATGAGGATGCGCGATCGTATCGAAATTCCACCACTGCCGATTACCGCAGGGAGATTGTAGTGCTCAATAGAATTTAATCGCGGTGATCGATGTGCTCCAGATAATGGCTGCCCGCGTTAAGAGATCGTTAAGCCGCGCCGCGCCGAGTCGTTGAACCACTTTGAGTAATCGAGGGTTTCGTCCTCGGACGCATCCAATCTGGTTTTCGCGAATCTGAGAAGTAAAGCATTATTACACAAACTTACTTTTACTTGTCAGTCTCTCTTCCCTCCTCATTTTGTCTACTTCTATCTCTCGATTTATTCGTTGGAAAAAATCGCTATATTTAGTACTTGAAATTAATTATAATTTTTTGTATGCATATAAATGAGAAATTCTATCACGTGTATAAACTATTATTTTTATAAGGCTAGATGCAAATTATAAAGCACCGTTAGAAATGTTATTTCTCTCTTTGTCATTCGTTATGACAAAAGAATCTCTTATACCTATCATATATAAATCCAAGAAAATGAACTTTACTATGTCACAATTTTCAGAATTTAGTTATCACAAAATATAATAATACTTAATCGCTCTTCTTTCTTTATCACAAAGTGTCGTACCTCGCTATTGAGGATTGTCATCTTATCTTATTTAAAGAGTCCGATACTCTCCTTAAGAATTCTGAAAAGAATCGTGTATTCGCAGGACTCTTGCAAAGGGCTATCGCCAAAGATAGCTTTTCAACGAGGAGACCCGATCCTCCCCTTCGAGAACTATAGACCGTTATTTACGGCCTCCACCTCCTCTCAGTCAGTCTCTCCCGAAGCGGCACATAACTACCACCACCTACCGTATAAGCGTAAGCCGGATTCTTCTCTCTCAGGCGGCGGCGGCGGCAGACATCGGGCAGCCATCTAGATATCGTCTGCAGCGTGCATTGAACGCAGGGGGAATGCACTGAATGCAGAATGCAGGAGCGAGGGTACCAACCCCGGTGTTCTCTCGGGGGCTCCAGGGCTGCAATCGCTACGGTGATCGATCGTACGTGACCAAAGGCCCGGACGAGGACCTCTTTCTCTCTCGATCTTTCTCTCTTCGCGAAGGTGTCCTTCATCGCGATCTAGTCACGATTCACGAATCAAGGTGTCCCCTCCACACCGGAGATCTAAAGGCGATTCGGGCGATCGTTCCGTTC